ACTATGTTTAATTGTCCCGGAGTTCACCTTTAACCCCTTAATGACCAGTGAAGACCGCCGGGACTCTGTATAAACTTGTAAAGCCGACTATCGGCTTTACAGTAGAAGCGATTCTGGCGGCTCAGCTGCTGCCAGATCGCTTCTACGGGCCGGTAAACGGGGCTCCCCTGCCCGGCACCCCCGCCGTGTTTCCGGGCTCCGCTGCCCCTCCTACGGGCCCAGGATCGGGTTTCTCTGGTGTCGGGGGGGAAGCCGGGGAGGTGATCGGCGAACCTCCGTTCACCGATCTCCTCCCCGTTCTATGGGACCGGGAGCGACGCAGATTACATCACTTCCGGTCCCTGAGCGGCCATTGGTCGGCTCCTGAAGCCCAGCTATAAGCTATTGTACTGCGATCGGCACTTCAATAGCTTATTTAGAGTGGAAAGGTGACACCAGGGGACCCCCAGCATCACCTTAAAGAGGACCTGTCACTGCCAATATGCTATCACATGAGGGGCTTGTAAGCTCCCCTATGTCATCGCAATTAGAGTAAAGTTTAAAAAAAAAAGAAGTTTTTAAAATTAATATTAAATGTTACAAAAATTAAAAACATTTTAAAAACCCTCCGCAAACTCGCGTCTTCATGTAAACACACGTTGGGTGCGCCTACGTATGAAAACGACGATCGCGCTAGACATGTTGGGTATCGCCGCGCACGCCGGAGTGAGAGCAATAATTCTAGGACCGGTATTTATGCGTATAACTAAACTGATGACCTGTGGGGGGCTTCTAAAGCGTCATCTATGGACTTTTTGGGGTACTGAACTTTGTCGCCGTTTCACGGACGCACGCAATTTTTAACCCGGGCATGTTGGGTATCTATTTCCTCGTTGTAACCTCATCTTTTATGGGTATTTTATTGTGTTTTGGGACATTTAAGTGCATTTCGCACAAAATTTTGGGGTTTGATAAGGAGTTTTATTCGCCATTTTATTCTACAGGGTCTCGGCTTCCAGAAAATATATCATGTTTGGGGGATTTGAAGTCATTTTCAGGCCTAAAATGTGGACTAGAACATGGGTGCAAAAAATTGGGAAAAAGGCCTCGGTCATGAAGGGGTTCATTTTATAGAGTAAATGCCACAGGAAAAGGAATGATAGGAAATGCCACAGACGACTCTCAGAGCCGACCAACCCAAATCCTTCCCCTCATCCCCCACAGGAAACCTTCTGTTATGTAGAAGATACAAAGTGTATCTGCCGGGAGGAACGCTAGTTCACACCAGATGAAGTTCGTTCAGTTTGGCAGCTGCATCAAAATTGCGTCACAATGCTTTCCAATGGGATTTCTGGGGCTCTGTTCACACCAGTGCAATCCGTTCCGATGCAGCCAGAAAAAATACTGCTGGTCTCATTTTAGCTGCGCCTGATCGCACTGGAACGCATCAAAACTGCATGCAAACGCACCTGAAAGCCCATTTTAAAAAAACCGCACTGCAGCTGCGCAGATGCACGCGGTTATTGTGTAAACGAGCCAAAAAGACAAATATCATCAGTTAAAGTTGTTGCTGATCTCCTGCAGCCTCTTTGCTTCCACTTCCTGTCTACATGCACTCCAGCGATGGCTGCATGGCATTTCTCAGGGCGTATGGTGACAACAGTGGACCGTGTCTGTGTAATGTGAGCTGAATTGGAATCCATTGGAAGCCCGAGGTGACAACGCAGGAGCACAATTAGGAGACAGGGACAGAGCGTTGTCACCCTATAAAAGGAAGTGCCTGAAGAAGGACCGCCATGACAGGATCATCAGGATTATTATATGCAATGCAATCCCAAGCGCCAACACAGGGGCGTCCCAAGGCGTGGTGTCACCCGGAGCGGCCGACGGGACATCACTACACACGTGTGTGAAGTCATCACGCGAGCTTACCTACTGACGGCCATTTAGGTGAATGATGCTGGAGGGGGACGTTCACCCGGCGGGATAAGGTATGCCGCTGGGTCCCCTCCTCTCTCGTGCAACTGTCCGCGACCGAGTGCCCGACTTTTCAGAGGGGGGGTGACACCAAAATGACTGTCGGTCATTTTGGTGTCACCCCCTCTGATGGGGTCACACCCCCCTTGTGACACATCTCTGGTGTCCCGCCTCATACGCGTTGCACCCAATCAGAGGCATAGTCATGGAGATAGGACTCCGATTGGGTGAAACGCGATTGGGTGAAACATGTCCGAGGGGGTGGACCTTGGGCGGGACACCAGAGATGTGATAGACGCTTCAATAAACTATTCCAGTGGAATCCGGATGTGCATCTGGCTGTTGGGCCCCGGAGCCGGCCGCACCCCCCTTGTGATGTCACTGCACCCACGCAACATTCATTTCAATGGGTTGCCCTATTATGACGCACAGGGCCAAGGCGCCTTAACGCGTCACGGGTCCACATCCATGCCAAGTGTGAATGGCCGGTCCAGCTCATTGCAGGAAATGTAACAAATATAATAAGATCTCATGCGCTCGGGGCGAATGATGACACATCCAATCGTGCGTGCGCTACATATGCGGGTTTGTGCCATCGACAGGCAAACAGGACCAATCGACCCTCCTGGTGGCCAGGACACAGGCGGCCATTCAGACCGGCGCGTGTAATCCGAGCAACGAACGCCAGATGTTGGCCTTGAGCAGCGACCAATAACAGACATGTGCGCTGGACGCATGCAAACATTCGCATTAAATACATTCCATACAGAGGACTGCAGATTTTTATTTTCAGAGCTTTGCGCAGCTTGGCGCACAGGGCCATAGGATAGAATTCCGCTGCGTTCCACCCTGATAAATGACGAACCGGGACGGGTATCGTACGCCGCGTGCAGTGAACATTCCTCCCATGATGCACCTGTAAAGCGTCGCCTCCTGCTGGCCAGCAATGGTGAGGACATTTGATCCGAACATGAACTCGCCACCGCCAGTCGATTTTCACCATTGACCTTCCAATCTCACACCATGGGAACAATTTTTAAGATGCGAACTGGACCTGCTGCAATTGTGAATTTTTGATAAATACTTTTTTTTTAAACAAAAAGACTGGGCAGTTCTCGCTGTTGGATCGTTTCTTTGAAAATCTTTTATTGGATAACCGGCAGCAGTAAAAATGTTATAAAAAGTACAACAATATGTATAGAAAAAGACGTAAAACACATAAAGGGGTTCATTTAGAAAAGGCCCGGCGTATACCGTTCCCATGGCACCAGCGTCCCCTAGATGGCGCTGATGAGTATCAGAATTTTGGGCGTATACCGTTCCCTTGCCACCAGCGTCCCCTAGATGGCGCTGACGAGTATCAGAATTTTGGGCGTATACCGTTCCCTTGCCACCAGCGTCCCCTAGATGGCGCTGACGAGTATCAGAATTTTGGGCGTATACCGTTCCCTTGCCACCAGCGTCCCCTAGATGGCGCTGACGAGTATCAGAATTTTGGGCGTATACCGTTATGTCACCAGCATCCCCCAGATGGCGTTAATGAGCAAAGAAATTTCCTATACATCTCAGAGTATGCCGTTTGATTGGCACTAGCGCCCCCGTTATAATACACCCAGCATACACAGTTCACATGGCGCCAGCGTCCCCGAGATGGCGCTGACTAGTATCGGAATTTGGGCATATACCGTTCACAGAGCACCAGTGCCCCCAGATGGCGCTGATGAGCAAAGGTATTTCCTATACCCGTCAGCTGATGCCATTATAATACATCCGGCGTATACTGTTCGATTGGCACTAGCGTCACCTCGATGGTGCTGACGAGTAGAGGAAATTTGGCCGTTCGTATACCAGTAGCGCCCACTAGATGGCGCAGATGGGTAAAGGCATTTCGGGTGTCTACTGTTCCTATGGCACTAGAACCCCTAGATGGCGCCAATGAGTAAAGGCATTTCCTATACTTGTTAGCATATACGGTCATAATATGCCTGGTGTATACCCTTCACATGGCACTAGCGCCCCTAGAGTAAAGGAATTTCGGGTGTATACCGTCCGCAAAGCACTAGCACTCCTAGATGCCTCTGATGTGTAAAGACTTTCCTATACTCGTCAGCGTATAAATGTATATTATGCCCGGTGTATACCATTCATGATGATGAGTATAAGAATTTTGGGTGTATACCATTTGCAAGGTACTAGTCCCCCTAGATGGCGCTGATGAGTAAAGGAATTTCGGGTGTATACCATTCACATGGCACTACCGCCCCCCTAGATGGCGCTGATGGGTAAAGGAATCTTCCTATGCTCATCAGTGAATAATATACCCGGCGTTTACCGTTCGATTGGCACTAGCGCCCCCTAGAGGCATCGATGAGTAGAGGAAATGTGGGTATATACCATTCACAAGGCATTAGCGTCCCTAGATGACGAATGAAGGACTTATATAAGAATACCGTTCGCAGACACTAGCGCCCTTTCATGGCGCTGACGGGTATATTTCCTATAACCGTCAGCACCATCTATGGCCACTCGTTCCGTGCCAACGGCATCCGCCTGAACTTTTATAAATGAACCCCATAGAGAGGTCAGCGCCTCACCATGTGGATGCGGCATGATTCCCAGGATGGGGAATAGGTCACATACGGGCGGGGTTATAAGGCCACGCCCCCTTCCGGATATAAGAATATAAAACTATTCCAGTATTAATGTTCATAGCTAAAGAGTCAACTCTGGGCTAGGCATCCTCGGCACTCCAACTGTTGTGGAACTGCAAGTCCCATGAGGCAGGGCAAGACTGAAAGCCACTGCCATGACTACCCAGAGGCAGCGGCAAGATCTGATTTGTAGCTTTACCACAGCTGGAGTACCGAGGATGCCTATCCCTGTGTTAACATATATTATGGAAGGGATAAACACAGATCGCGTGCGATGAAGAGAAGAACCGTCTAGATTGGTGACTTTGGTGGTCTTGTCTTGAGAGAAAGGTCAGCAGCAGACGTCGATTGCTAAAAGAACGTCTGTGGCCTCTTATAATCGCATTTGTTATTATTACAATCTAAGAAAACTATTTGGGCAAAAAGATAAAAACAAAAAGTTTCAGTCCACCCTGTAAAATTCCCCCCTGTATTCCCGTACCGTCCTCCAACCAAAAGCCACCAGTGGTCCATCACGGCCAACTCCTGGAGGTAATAAGGCACTTGAGATACAGCGTGATGGCCAGATAGAATGATTGACCTTCCAACCTGGAGACTTCACCGCCCCCTACAAAACCACGGCCGCCCGGTGAAACGTTGCTCTACAGAACTAGGACGGGATTGAGGCTCTCTAAACTGACAGCGGCCGTTGTGTGGTCCTTGAGGAACCACGTTTGATAGAGGCAACGCCTAAACTCGGAATTCTGAAGATAAGATCTGGGAGTAAAGGTCTTCTGTGAGCGAACGATAGGAGCGGGAGCCTTCATCCAGGAGATACAGAGGATCCGAGATGGTCAACGGTGAAAAACCTTCTTTGACCAATCGTTGCTTCTGCTGCTTGAAGGTCCCAGTGGTCTCCATGTGTTCCTGGAGAGAGAAGAGAGAAGATCAGACGTGGTGACCACAGAAGATGAGGTCCGATCCAGGAGAATCAAAACATGGCAGCTGCCAGAAAAACATTGAAGGACCGCCAATTATTTACAGTATGTGGGTGTCTAGTGGACATTGTCTAGTGGACTCCGCCCTACAACCCATGAGAACCCTCCATGATCTAGTACTACACCAACAGTGATATATATAGTCACCAACCATGACTCTGAGGAAGCGTGGACGGGCATAAGACGGAAGAACCTCCATCACATAAGAGAACACTCGATCCAAATTCAGCTCGTGGTCCGAACGCACAGTGACGGCTGCCATGCCGGCCCGACCTTCATGTCCTAAAAGAAGGAAGACACCAGAGGCAAAGATGACCATGAAGAGGACCATAACCATGAAAGATGACCATAACCATGAAAGATGACCATAACCATGAAAGATGACCATAACCATGAAAGATGACCATAACCATGAAGATGACCATGCCGGCCCGACCTTCATGTCTTAAAGGAAGACACCAGAGGCAAAGATGACCATGATGATGACCATAGCCATGAAGATGACAATAATCATGAAAATGACCATGAAGGAGGACCATAGCCATGAAGAGGACCATAGCCATGAAGAGGACCATAGCCATGAAGAGGACCATAGCCATGAAGAGGACCATAGCCATGAAGAGGACCATAGCCGTGAAGAGGACCATGATGGCCATGCTTAAGCCAAAGAGAGATGAAGGAAACAAAAATTAAAGACCCACCTGGAATGGTGACCCCGTAGACGTTGACCTCCTGGAAGAAGTCCAGCCCACTCAAGATCTCCGAGACCTCCGTGGTGGCCACATTCTCCCCCTTCCACCTACAACACCAAGACAGAACAATGTGATGACCATTCGTGATAAATGAAATGCTGGTTGTGTCCCCACAACATGGACAGGAAGTGTCTCCACACCTGAACGTGTCACCGGTCCGGTCTCTGAAGTAGACGAACCCGAGGTTGTCCTGCGCCATCAGATCCCCCGTGTTAAAGTAACAGTCACCCTTCTGGAAAACATCCCTCAACAGCTTCCCCTCTGACAACTCCCGACTGCCAACGTAACCCAAAAATGGCGACATGGTGGTGACCGGTGAAATAAGAAGACCCGTCTCTCCTGCAAGGTAGAGAGATAGAACAATAAGGTCTACACAAAGCCCCAGTGAGGTAGCTGGTATTACATCCACCATTATGTTAATCACATGACCAGCCCCCCAGCAGTGCAGTAAGAAACCCCAATATCCTATAAACACACATCCCACTCTCTGCAGATACAAAGGTACTGGCAAGAAACTCATGGTTCAGTAAATCCAGGGACATTGCTGGGGATGCCAGATTTTACATAGCTGCCTGTATATAACCACACACAGCATACTTCTATAGGTGACAGTGAACAGGAGGGCGACAACATATGCAAATCCGGTCTTAAAAGTGAATACTGTTGCCATGGTTGCAAGAAAGCTATAGATTTACCTGTACTTGTGCGCTGACACCGCCCCTGCGAGTCTCTGATTGGCTCCCCCTCCTGTGTATCGAAGCGGATGAGATCGAATGGGCAGAATTGCTAAATAAAAAGAGAAATCAGAAAAGATCATCAACAACCAATGACATCACTGACCTACCTAGAGATCTGCAGAACATTGCTCCGTCCCATCTCCCCCTGACAGATACATATTGATATATTCTGCAGATTATTCCACCACTGACCCCTCTAGAGATCTGCAGAACATTGCTCCGTCCCATCTCCCCCCTGACAGATCCATATTGATATATTCTGCAGATTATTCCACCACTGACCCCTCTAGAGATCTGCAGAGCATTTCTCTGCATGCTACATAATGGATTAGAAGGGACATGACTTACCTTGTACAGGTAGGTGCCCCTGCCGATAGCCCCGGGTGTCCCCGTGTAGTTGAAAAAGCTGATATTGAACTCGGTCATGCCATAGGTCTCAAAAATTTTAATTTTCCCGAATCGTTGCGAGAAATCCTTCCAGACGTCGGGGCGGAGCCCACTGCCCGCCGCCAGGCGCACTCTATGGTTCTTCTCACCGTCAGTCTGCGTCACAAGGGAACAGATCAGCCATTACGGTTTATATAAACTTTATTTACACATATACATTTCACACACCATGCGCCAATGACCCCGATGTCCCTGTGTACTGAGGGTTTCCTCAAGTGGGCGGAGAGCAGAAGCTGCGTCCTTGCAGACTGTCTCTATGTACAGAACACATAAGGTGGGCGAACCACTGCCCTGGCTCCAGTTATTAAGTTATGTAAATGACGCCTACCATGGGAGTTATACTGATAGAGAGCGCAGTGAGCGTCCACCATGGGAGTTATACTGATAGAGAGCGCAGTGAGCGTCCACCATGGGAGTTATACTGATAGAGAGCGCAGTGAGCACCCACCATGGGAGTTATACTGATAGAGAGTGCAGTGAGCACCCACCATGGAAGTTATACTGATAGAGAGCGCAGTGAGCACCCACCACGGGAGTTTTACTGATAGCAAGCGCAGTCATGTGACCATTCCCGCCCCCGGTACCTGTGGCTGGTTGGTGAGGTATCGGCACAGCTCCCCGATATACTGGAAGATGGTGACGTTGTACTTGTTGCAGTCGTTCCAGAACTGGCTGGCGGAGAAGCGTTCTTTCAGGACCAGCGATGCCCCTGAAGAAGAGCGCGGAGCGAGAAATCAGAGAGGATCATGGGAAATAGGCCACCGGCCTCTCCAGATTGGGTCCCACCATGGCCGGCAGTCCCATTGCAGATCCTCACCACACTCAATGACCCGTAGGGACTCACCGACACCGATGCAACCTCCGACCCCCAGCAGGACGCCCGATTTGTGGTAGAGCGGCAGAGACATGTAGATGACGTCGCCGGCGTTCGCGCCGCACAGCTGGTAGAAGACGCAGCACATCAGGGTCTTCAGGTGGCTGATCCGAGCTGCTTTGGGCAACCCTGAAACAGAACACCGGACCGTTCAATGGGTGACCCGCCGGGACCGGGGAAATCGTACTGATGCCCCCAACCAGCTAACCAGATCTACCACCAGTGACTTACCCGTCGTCCCGGAGGTGAAGATGCAGATGGCGGTCTCCATGGGGTTCTTCACGGCGCTGAGGTCTGCGGGCGGGGGGCTGACCGTGGCGGCGTCCATCAGAGCCTGGAGGTTGATGACATCATCGGGGTAATCCCCGGGGCCCATCACCCACACCGTGACCCCCATCTCCCGCACATCGGGGAGGATCTCCCGCACGGCTTCGAAGAGCTCTGGAGGGTCCGAGAGAAAAATGTATGTCTCTGTACAGCGCTGCGGTCTATGTCAGAGCTATATACATGTATAATAATAGTGTGTGACTGTGGGGGAGGGGACATTAGAGTGTAAGCTCCTCTGTACAGAGACTGATGTGACTGTGGGGGAGGGGACATTAGAGTGTAAGCTCCTATGTACAGAGACTGATGTGACTGTGGGGGGGACATTAGAGTGTAAGCTCCTCTGTACAGAGACTGATGTGACTGTCTCAGTGTTCTCTGTACAGCACTGTGGTATATGTCAGAGCTATATACATGTATAATAATAGTGTGTGACTGTGGGGGGACATTAGAGTGTAAGCTCCTCTGGTGACCGGCTCAGTGTCCTCTGTACAGCGCTCTGGTATATGTTGGAGCCATACACTTTACTATACAGTGGATTTTATACACTTTGTATCAATCTGTTTACAAATAATGATCTACAATGTAACAAGTCAGCGATCCCCCCCCCTCCCCTTTCGGTCTCACCTGGGCTGGTGATGAGGCCCCGGGCCCCGCTGGCCCCCAGGCAGTGTTTTAGGGCCCCTCTACGGACATTGGTGTTCAGGAAGGCAGCGATCTGCCCGAGTTTGGCCAATGCGAACCAGGCTGTGAGGAATCTGGGCTCGTTGGGCAGCAGGAGGGCCACGGTGGCCCCCGGTGTGGTGCTGGGCAGCAGGGCATTGGCGGCCCGGTTGCTGCTCTCCTCCAGCTGCCGGTAGGTGACCTTCTGATCCCGGAATAGGAGGAAGACGGAGTCCGGGGAGCTCCGGAGCTGCAGCTGGAAGAGCCCCGGCAGACTGAGCGCCCCTTGCTGCATCCAGCGCCGGACCGTCCGCTTCAACCTGGCCGAGCGCACGATGAAGAGTGCATCGTGCAGGAACAGAGCGAGCCGCCGGGCCCCCGGGGGCCACAGCACTGCTAGTGATAACAGGAGCGCCACCACTAGCACCCACTCCATCATCATCAGGGTCGACTCCACACTGCTACCGAGTGTGAGAGGAGGGGGGAGGAGCCCAGACTGCCCCTCCCTCCCAGACAAGGGGCCCCTCTCTGCCACCCTTCCGCCCCCAGGGGGGGGGGGATAGGGGGGGGGGGGCTTCCCCAGACATTCCTCCCCCAACCCGTGTGATAGGACCAAGACATTTGATTGCAATAATGTCCCCTCATCTTCTATAAAGTGAAGGTGATTTATAACGTACGATATAGCAACTTCTGTACCCCAATCCCCTCCATTGTACCTCAACCTCCCCTGTGTCCCTTTCTTATACCCCACTCCTTACCTCCTACCTGTATCCCAAT